ACTATTTCGTGTTTTTGGGACTGTTTTTTTGAATCTGCCTTTGGGACTATTTTTTTCTGGTTTTTCTTGCTGGGTTCACTTCCCTAGGAGCCGAAAATCACCCCTCTAAGGGTCCTTGATCTTAATTTGTTGTTTTACTCCTGTGGGGTTGATATTCTGTTCAATTTGTGGCTGTTTCTGGAGCCGAAAATCACTTGTGGCTGTTTCTGGAGACGAAAATCACCCCTCTAAGGGCTGACACCCTTCTAGCAAGGGATATTTGTCCTCTCTTTATTGATTGCTTCTGTTGAGTTGATGTGTTGGTCTCATTTGGGTCCAAACTTGGTTGTTGAGCTAGTTCTGTGTTTATAGTGGTGATTGTGGGTATTGACTGTTTGCAAGTCTGGTTGATCATTATGGTTGAGATTGAGGCTAAGGCTATAACTATGGGTAAAGATGATGATATGCCTAAATCTATCACTACAAAGAAATTGAATGGTGCTAATTATTTGGCTTGGGCCCATGCTGTCAAGATTTTCTTACGAGGTAAGAAGAAGTCCCGCTATCTTAGTGAACTCCCTCCTTCTACTGATGATAAGGATTATGATGATTGGTGTTGTGAGGATTCTTGTGTGATGGGTTGGATTTGGCATAGTCTGGAACCACAGGTTGCTACTACCGTGGAATTTTGTGATACCTCTAAGGCCATTTGGGACTCTACGAGTTATATGAATAGATTTTTGCTATGCGTCAATCTGGCCGGTCTCTTCCTGATTATTATAGTAGTCTCAAGACTTTGTGGGATCAGTTACTGCAGCATCGACCTTTCACAACTGATGTGACCACCCAGAAACAACATTGGGAGGAGTTTATGATGGCTTCTTTACTTTCTGGCTTAGATCCTGAGTTGCGAGGGTTCAAAGATCAGATTCTTGCCAGTGACACTCTACCTTCGGCTGCCAATGCCTATTCTAGGCTGTTACGCTCTTCATTGGGACAAGCACAATCCACTGTTGGGTCTTCTTTATCATCTTCTGCATTGGTTTCCAGTAGTAGTGATCATGGGTCTACTCGCGGGGGTTTTCATAGTTCTTTTGGTTCCCGGAGCTCTTCTTCTGGTTTCCGGGGCTCTCGTGGAGGTGGTTCTCGTAGTGGTGGCTCACGTGGTGGTTTCCGTGGTGGCAGTAGTAGTGGACCTGGTTCTCGTACACGTGGTGATCGCAAGTGTACTCATTGTGGTTCCCAAGGTCATACTGAACCTTGGTGTTGGCAAAAGCATGGCAGACCTGATCATGTCCATCAGGTTATGGATGTCCCCTCCTCACAGTCTTCCTTGTTGTCCACTGGCTCGGATGCTTCTCCTGTTACTTCGCATGAGACACTCACTACTCAAATTAGTGAGCTTACTGCCCTTGTCCAGTCTCTCCGGCCTAGTCTACCTTCTTCCTCTACTACCATGGCTAGTTCAGGTAATATTGCATGTGTGGCTAAGTCCTCTCAGCCTTGGCTCCTAGACTCTGGTGCTAGTTCTCATGTCTCTGGTAATTCCTCTCTTTTTGATACTCTTAGACCTGTTGATCATACCATTATACTTGCTGATGGATCTTCTCGGCCTGTCTGTGGTCAAGGTCCTCTTCATCCCACTCCATCCATGTCCTTACCTTCTGGTCTTTATGTTCCTAAATTTTCATTTAATTTGCTTTCTGTTAGCCAATTGACTCAAGCTCTCCATTGTTCGATAACCTTTTCTCTACTTCATGTGTTTTGCAAGACCTCCAGACCAAGAGGATGATTGGTTCGGGGCATGAGAAGGATGGCTTATACTTTTTGGACGCTGAGACGTCTCCTCCTCCATCTGCTGTGTTGAGTGCTAGTATATCTCCTCTTCAGTGGCATTTTCGCTTGGGTCATCCCTCCTTGGCCAAGCTCAAGTTAGCTGTTCCGGGTTTGAGTCATGTTTCTCAGATTGAGTGTGAAGCCTGTCAATTTGGGAAGCATCATCGTAGTTCTTTTCCTCGTCGTAGTGTTAGTCGTGTGTCTGAGTCTTTTGCTCTTGTCCATACAGATATTTGGGGTCCTTCTAGAACTCCAACTGTTAATGGGTTCTTTTATTTTGTTATTTTTGTGGATGATTACTCTCGGATGACTTGGTTGTTTTTAATGAAACAAAGATCTAATTTGCCTTCCATCATCTCTAAGTTTTATAATGAAATCACTTAGAAAATATGAGGAAGAAGGAATATATTTCTGTTATATTCAAAACTTCTTATCTTACAAGACCAAATGACACTCCTTATATAGGAGATATTACAAACATCATTATAACCCATTATATGCCACTTACATATTATATATTACCACAATCTACCACTATCATATTATATACATGCCACTATCTACCACCAACACCACAATCATATTCTATACATGCCACTATCCTTCACCAACACCACTATCATATTATATACATGCCACTATCTACCACCAACACCACAATCATATTCTATACATGCCACTATCCTTCACCAACACCACTATCATATTATATACATGCCACTATCTACCACCAACACCACAATCATATTCTATACATGCCACTATCCTTCACCAACATGGTTTGAAGATATCTTCCATAGCCAGCTTGCTAGTCAGCTTATCAAATTGCTTCTTGTGTAGTCCCTTTGTTAGCACATCAGCTAATTGTTCACCTGTTGGAAGGTAGGTCATACAGATTATGCCAGCATTGATTTTCTCTTTGATGAAATGTTTATCCACTTCTATATGTTTTGTGCGATCATGTAGAACTGGATTATGAGCTATAGATATAGCTGCTTTGTTGTCACAATAGACCTTCATAGGTGTCGGGTGAGAAAGCTTTAATTCTTCAAGAATTCTTTTAATGCACATTACTTCACAGATTCTATGGGCAACAGTTCTGAACTCTGCTTCTGCACTACTTCTAGCTACCACATTCTGTTTTTTACTCCGCCATGTAACTAGGTTCCCACCTACCCAGGTGCAACCGCTCGCTCGAGCGAGCCACTCTGGCTCGACCCACCAAACACGAACCCCACTCTCGCTCGAGCGACCAACTCCTCGCTCGGGCGAAGGTCCAAAATTCTGGGCAGCAACACTAGGCTCCCGAACACAACCAACCTGTAACAAACCTGCCTAACACATCCTATAACTCAAATATGAAGAAAAAGGAATGTAAACACGATAATAACCAACTACCAACATCCACGGACACATGTCCGGATCACTGTACAACAAGGATATTGTTCCCTCTCTTTGACTTCTTCAGCCTTAGCAGCTTGTAACTTCAAGTTAGGCTCGATCGGAGTCTCCACCATCTTACAACCAAACATACCTGTTTCTCCAAGGAGATCAAGAACATATTTTCTCTGATTAACGAATATACCTTCCTTGGATCTTGCAAATTCCATTCCGAGGAAATACTTGAGGGCTCCCAGATCCTTAATGTGAAATTCTGTTGTGAGTTTCTCTTTGAGGGCTGCTAACTCTGCTTCATCATTACCAGTTAAAATGATGTCATCAACATAAACAATCAAAATTACAATTTTACTGTCTTTTGAATGTTTATAAAATATTGTGTGATCTGCTTGACTCTGCGAGAAGCCACAACTGATAACTGCCTTCCCAAAGCGTTCAAACCACGCTCTTGGTGATTGTTTGAGTCCGTATAATGACTTGTTCAATCTGCATACTCTGTCGCTTCCAAGTCGCTGCTCAAATCCCAGCGGTAGGCTCATGAACACCTCCTCTTCAAGATCACCATTGAGAAATGCATTTTTAATGTCAAGTTGATGTAGAGGCCAATCTGAATTTACTGCAAGAGATAACAGTACTCTGATGGAATTTATTTTAGCAACAGGAGCAAACGTCTGCTGATAGTCGATCCCATAAGTTTGAGTGAAGCCTTTAGCCACCAGTCTCGCCTTGTATCTCTCAACGCTTCCATCTGCGTTACATTTTATCGTAAACACCCATTTACACCCAACTATTTTCTTGTCTTTGGGTAGATCAACTATCTCCCAAGTACCACTTCTCCTTAAAGCATTCATCTCCTCCATGACTGCTAATTTCCAATTCGGATCATCCAATGCTTCCTGTATATTCCTTGGAACAAACAAGTGTGAGATCCTAGATGTGAAAGCTCTATGGTTTTTAGACAGTCTTTGATAGGAGAGGTAATTTGCAATAGGATGTTTAATGCAATTTCGGACACCTTTCCTAATTGCTATAGGAACGTCAAGGTCGGAAATAGAAGGAATAGGATTACCTAAAATTTCGATGCCAAAACTCGGGTGGACATTCGGGTCATTAGGATGGACATTCAGGTCATTATTCTTCAGATGAAATCGCTTCCTAGTATAAACCTGAAGCTCTGGATTTAAATCATTTTGTAGTACTTCTCCCCCTAAACAAAAATCTTCTTGACTAGGCACCATAGAACTCGGTTCTCCTAAGTGATCATTATCAGACAGAAAAAAGAAAGAGAGAAATAAGGGCCCCAAACATCACTATGAATCAAATAAAAAGGTTTTGAAGCCTGGTAAGGTTTTGGCAAATAAGTAGAGTGATGAAATTTTGCAAAAATGCAACTTTCACAATGAAAAGAAGAACAGTCAATCCCTTTAAATAATTCTGGAAATAAATGTTTCAGATACTCCCTCCGTCCCAAAATATTAGTCCCTTATTCCATTTTTCATTGTCCCAAAATATTAGTCCCTCTTCAAAAATCAAGTACAAAAATAATATAAATTTCCTATTTTACCCTTCTTTTAAATTAATAAACAACATAAAAAGTACAATTATGCATTGATATTTTCAAAAAATGTACTATCAAAAGGATAATTTTGGAAAATCAACTTTTTTCAAATGCAATAATTGTACTATCAAAAAAAGTTGGATTCCCCAAAAAGGACCATTATTTTGGGACGGAGGGAGTAAAGAAAACTAGGATGTCCTAGCCTATAGTGCCATAGCATTATTTTTTCTCGAACAGAGATTGAACTAGTACTATTAAAGCTCTGAGCTTTTTTATTACTAACAGGTACTTCATCAAAGTAGTAAAGACCTTCAAGCATCCTAGCACGCCCAATCATCATCCCCGAGTTCTGGTCCTGAAATTCACAATGGGATTCAAAAAATGTAACAGGACAATTAGAATCCTTAGATAGTTTACTGACAGACAAAAGATTACAGGCTAAGTTGGGGACGTGAAGAACAGCATTGAGATTAATTTTCTCAGTTAGTTTAATAAATCATTTTCCTGCAATTGGTGAAAAACTACCATCGGCTATTCTGATTTTGTCATGACCAGAACAAGGGAAATAGGTACTAAATAAATGGGAAAAACTAGTCATGTGATCGGAGGCACCGGAATCTATGATCCACGGAGAGAAGTTTAGGCAAGAGTAGGCTTTAGGATTTCTACCTGTTTGTGCCAACAAAACACTAGGAGTACCGGATGAGGAGTTGGATTTTATCAGCTTTAAGAGTTGATCAATCTGCTCTTTGTTGAAGGGACCTGAATCGGCTTCATTAGCGGTAGGAAAGCCACAATTTTTCTCTCCTTGTTTGCTGCTTTTCCAGTTGACAGGTTTGCCATGGATCTTCCAACACGTTTCGCGTGTATGGCGAGGCTTGTTGCAAAAATCACACCAGACCCGTGGCTTATTATCAAACCCGCGCTGGTAATTTGCAGCCTTGTTGGCCGCAGCATCGCTAATTAAAGCAGAAATTTCAATTGATTCACCAGTACCTTTTTTCTTAAGCATGACGCTCCTTCCGCTCTCTTCCCTTCTGACTTCGGCAAATACTTCGCTAATGGATGGGAGAGGAGGTCTGCCAATAATCCTTCCTCGCACTTCATCGAACTCAATGTTGAGGCCGGCAAAAAACTTGTAAATACGACTGTCTTCCACAGTTTTCTTGTGGTGGTTGCAATCGTCAACCGATTTTCATTCGTATGTGTTGAAGATGTCAAGATCCTGCCACAACCTTTTTAACGAATTGAAATATTTGGTGACGGAATCATTTCCTTGACGAATCTCTCCCAACTTCAAAGTTAATTCGAAAACTTGAGATAGATTTCCTAGGTCAGAATACATCTGACTAACATTATCCCACAATTCTTGTGCAGTAGTATAGCGCATGTAATTAGAGCTTATATCCTCCTCCATGGAATTGACCAACCATGTCATAACCATGGAGTTTTCAGCGTCCCAACTGTCGAACAGCGGATCATTAACAGCAGGAGCCTTCTTGTCACCAGTGATGTAACCGATCTTTCCTTGCCCACGGATATACATCCGGACAGATTGTGACCAGCGGAGAAAATTATCACCATTTAGGCGGATGGTGGTGATTTGGACAGAGTAAGAGTTGGACGTTTTCACCGGAATGGCAGTGGCAGGGGTTGAAGTGGTTTCGGACGTGACCTCCGACATGGCTATGACGGTTTTAGGGCTGCTGTGTTTGTTGTTGCTCTGATACCAACTTAGAAAATATGAGGAAGTAGAACTCCGAAAATATGAGGAAGAAGAAATATATTTCTGTTATATTCAAAACTTCTTATCTTACAAGACCAAAATTTACCAGCTTATGATGGTTAGTTTTAGGGCACGTTTAAATTAACATCCTTATGCTCGTATGTTTGCATCCATTCATCTGTTTTGCATGCACCCGGCTCAGCACATCATGCTAACTGCATTGTATTTCAATTCCAAGTTGAATACATGTATCGATTGTTGCATCTCATATGTCATCTTAGAATAGCCGAGCCTTATTAGTTGCATTTCTACATGTGTTGCATTAGGCATCTCAGCATAGTTAGGATTCATGCATGTTTTTTAATTAGCTTCTTTTTTTCTTTGGCTTGGAGTACTCGGTAAGGGTTTATGCTTTAGCATCCTTGCATGTGTGTGAGTGACAGCCATGATAGCATGCTTACCATGAGGCTATGTGCTTATGTAACATAACTGCCTGAATGCTTGTGGGTGAAGGTTGGGTTGCTTGAGTTGGAATAATTCGTCGAAACCCGTGTTTTAGCCTACTTGCGAGTAGCAAACTTCAATCCATTTTTTAAAATGAACGGATATGCAATGTTTTGTTCCAACTTAGGCAATCCAGTCTATACTTGTATGCTGTTCGCATCACATAGTAATTCTAGGCTAATAACCGGAATAAGAGCACATAATATTTTCAAAACTTGATATCATGGTTAGTAGAGGCCGATCTTTGAAAAATAAAATTGAAATTGAAACAAAGGAAGAAAAAATTGTTAGAATTTTCTCTTTCCATTTAGCAAAAATAGGAAACATGTGTTGTCGTTTTCTTTCCTTTATTACTATTATTATTTTAAGGGGATTTTTTTTTAAGATCTCTGGTACTAAAATTTTATAGCATAAAGGACACTTAATATTTTCATAATGTTTAAGGTCCTTCAACATGGATTCAGAGAAAATTCGATCTAGAGAAAATTCGATTCAGAGAATTTCTCTAGACAAATGACAAAGAAAATTCCAAATTTCTCTAGACACATCACAGAGAAAATCTCACTAGAGAATTTCTCTAGATTCAACCTAGAGAAATTTCCCTCTCCACCCCAGAGAAATTTACTCAACTCTAGAGAAAATCTCTTCTAACTAGAGAAATTCACTTGTGTTGTCTGCAATTTGATAGCTTCAATGATTTGGATGCATATTCATAGAGAAAATCTCACTAGAGAATTTCTCTGGATTCAACCCAGAGAAATTTCCCCCTCCACCCTAGAGAAATTTACTCAACTCCAGAGAAAATCTCCTTCAACCAGAGAAATTCACTTGTGTTGTCTGCAGTTTGATGGCTTCAGTGATTTGATCCAACATTATTCTTATACTACAAAAAGAGACTTGATCCAATAACCATATTTATGTCTATATTTATAATGAATTCAACATACAAAGCAATCCTTGGAATTTCTCTGGGTTCAAGACCTTGAACATTCAAATTTCTCTAGACCTTTGGACTAACATAAAAAACCCTTGAACCTTTTTCAAATTTCTCTAGACTAACATTCAAATTTCTCTGGACTAACATCAAATCTCTCTGGATCAACATTCAAATCCCTCTATCTATCCAGAGAAAATTGAACACCACAAAAAAAATTAAACAAGGCAGAGAAAATTAACCAAACCAGATAAATTTTGCAAATACTCCACTGCTATCAACAAAGGTCTTGGGGAAAATCAGTTACCATGGACATCAATCCAAGTAATATACATATATCTAGAGAACTCTCTGGACTTTTTACAGAATTTCTCTCGAGAGAAATTCTGGGAAGGCCAGAGAAATTTTTTAAATTCCAATCTAGAGATTTTCTTTGGATTTCAAGTGAACCATAAAGCATAAAGTTTGTTTGGTTGCCAAGAAAAGTAGACAAAAAAATAACATGTATAATAAAAAACACAACTTTTTAGAGAATTTCTCTCCAGAGAAATTCTGGGAAGGCCAGAGAAATTCTTTGAATTCCAATCTAGAGATCTTCTCTGAATTTTCTCTGGATTTCAAGTGAACCATAAAGCATAAAATTTGTTTGGTTGCCAAGAAAAATAGGCAAAAAATAACATGTGCAATAGAAAACACATAAAAGTACAACATAAAAGTGCAGAGAAATTTGTAATAATTATAATTTTCTCTTGATTGTAATAACAAGCTCTATTTTTCAACATATATATATATATATATGGATCTATAAATTTCACAAACATTTGCAATCATCAATATAATCCACAACATAACATCTATCACTTTTTTTATATTTTATATTTTTTTTCTTTTTCTTGCAGTTAACTCATTAGTTCACTTGGGTGAGTTTGCAATGGGCAAAACTAGGATGTCTATAGAAAGACAAAGCACTCTCAAGTCATTAGCATTTGAAAGATATCAATACAAGAATTATATACTCTGATACACTATGTTCTCAGTTATACATTCTACATCTATGAAACAGATACATGAACTGGCTCAATAGCCCAAATATCAAATAAGCAGTTCAAACCCGTGTAAAATAGTTCACTCTTCCCATACTGAATCCTTTATCTGCGGACTGGTGGCTTCTCTAGAACACTCCAAAGCTTCTGCTATAGTCGAAGCCTCACGAATTTAGCTTGACAATGAATTTGATCTTCCAACTTTACTACTATCCTTCTCTCGTGTATCACTGGTTAGACTTAAAAAAGCTCTGTTTTTCTCTGCAACTGAAATCAATGGAGTTTGTTTGGGCTTCGAGCTGAAAAATCGGTGGAAGACCTTTATACGGTGGTTCAATCGGAGCAAGAGTGGCCGAGGAGTTCTTGACATAGGGCTTCTTAGATCGATCGAGTTGGATCAACGAGAGAGAGAGAAGAGCAGAGAGGAGAGAGAAGAGGTGAGGCGTGAGTCTGAGAGAGAGAGAGGTAAAGGTTTGAAGCCCTGAGGTATATCAAATTTCTCTGTAATCCATAGGCGTGGGGTTGAAGGACTTTAGACATCATAAAATAATATTGTGGATCTCTCCCATTACTAAAAATAGGAGAAGGACCTTAGACTAATTTTCTCTTATTTTAAAAAAACCAAAACCAAAACAAAAACAAAAACAAAAAGTATGATTAATACACAAGTTTTCAAAACATATAAAAACAGAAGCACCAGGCATTCCAAACAATTTCCAACAAAGAATCACAAGTAGGAACATCAAGCAAAAAAATAAGTTATCCATTCCAAGTCTACAACAACCACCAATCAAAAGAAATCTTCTCAAAAACCATATCAGTGTAAAACGAACCAGATTGTTAGATTTGCATAAAAGAAAGAAAAGAAAGAGAGGAAGAAAAGAGAGAGCACTGCTGCTGTATATTATTTCACACAACTAAACATATCAGGGTTACACATACTTATAATAAAAGACTAAAGGAACAAAAGACATAACTACCCTTGTATACTAAAACTTAACACTCCTCCTCAAGTTGGTGCAAAGATATCTCTTATGCCCAACTTGCAGCAAATAGGATGGAAAACCTTACTACTAAGACCCTTAGTAAAGACATCAGTCAATTGATCTACAGACTTCACAAAAGGCATACATATGAAACCCTTATTCAATTTCTCCTTGATGAAATGTCTGTCGATCTCAATATGCTTTGTTTTATCATGCTGAACAGGATTGTGAGCAATACTAATGGCAGCTTTGTTGTTACAGTACAGTGTCAATGGTTCACTACAAACAAACCCAATATCATTCAACAAGGACTGGAGTCACATCAATTCACATGTACCATGCGCCATAGCCCTGTATTCTGCCTCTGCACTAGATCTGGACACCACTGTTTGTTTCTTACTACGGCATGTGACTAAATTTCCCCCCACAAATGCACAGTAACCAGAGGTAGATCACCTGTCATCTATAGAACCAGCCCAATCAGCATCTGTGAATGCCTTCAACCTCAAGTGACCATGATTGGAAAATAAAATCCCTTTTCCAGGAGCAGATTTAAGATACCTCAAAATACGATACATTGCATCCAAATGAAGGACACGAGGCTCATGCATAAATTGACTCACTATCCCAACCGCATAGCAAATATCTGGACGAGTGTGGGATAAATATATAAGTCTTCCCACAAGTCGCTGGTACCTTTCCTTTTCCACAAGATCACCAACACCACTACAAAGACGGTGATTAGCCTCAATTAGTGAATCAGCAAGTCGGCAGCCTAACATGCCAGTTTCCTCAAGAAGATCTAGAATATACTTCCGTTGAGAAAGAACGATGCCTTTGTCAGATCTGCCAACTTCAATCCTAAGAAAGTACCGCAACAAACCAAGGTCTTTGATCTCAAATTCCTTGGCCTAACAACATCTTAAGATGTGTCACTTCTTCCTCATCATTACATGTCACAACTATGTCATCCACATATACTATAAGCACAGTTACCTTATTTGCGTGACGTTTGACAAACATTGTGTGATCTGCATTGCTTTGCTTATACCCGAACCTCAACATAGCCTTTAGGAATCTGTCAAACCAAGCTCGAGGAGACTGTTTCAAACCATATAACGCCTTTTTCAACCTACAAACTTTCCCAACTGTAGACTGAGATGAGAATCCTGGTAGCATATCCATATATACCTCCTCCTCCAAATCACCATGGAGAAATGCATTCTTCACGTCTAACTGCTGTAAAGGCCATCCCAAATTAGCTGCACATAAGAGAATAGCTCGAATGGAATTCATATTTGCCACAGGAGCAAAGGTTTCTTGGTAATCAATTCCATATGTCTGAGTCAATCCCTTGGTCACTAATCGTGCTTTGTACCGTTCAATTGTTTCATCTGCTTTCTGTTTGATGGTGAACACCCATTTACACCCTACAGGCTTTTTTTCACTAGGAAGAGAAACCAACTCCCAAGTGTTATTCTTGCTTAGAGCTTGCATCTCTTCTACCATAGCTACTTTCCACTTAGGATCATTGATAACTTCTATCCAACCCTAGGGAATACATGCAGAAGACAAAGACAAAACAAAAGCACGATATGTAGAAGACAATGAATCATATGACACAAATTTAGAAATGGAGTGTTGAGTACAAGCCCTAACCCCCTTTCTAAGAGCAATAGGAAGACTCGAATCATCGACAGCAGGACTATCAACTACAGATAGAGGAATAGACTGAGGTGCATTACCTGAAACTGGCATGAGGAATGATGATGGGTCTAGTGGCATAAGGGAAGCTTGCTCTTTCAGACGCCGAGAATAAGGCTTAAGATCAACTTTGTCCAAACGACCACCAATGTCAAGCTCCATATTAAGAGAACTATTAGGCTCCCCTTCACCACAAATAACAATCTGTTGACTAGGAAGGAAAAAAGATAATTCGTTTTGATAGGCCATCTCCTCATCTGCAATCTCATCCATAACACTACTCTCCCTCGGAGGAGATGGCGGAGAAGAAAGAAAGAAGGCTTCAGATTCACGGAAAATGACATCCATACTAACATAAACTTTGCGAGTGTGAGGATCATAGCATTTGTAACCCTTCTGAGTAGCAAAATAACAAATAAAGACACAACGCACAACCTTAGGATCGAGTTTTCCACGAGTATGAGGTTGCAAATGAACAAAATAGACGCACCCAAATACCCGAGGAGGAAGAGAAGATGTGGGATATGCTACAAGAAGTAGTTGAAGAGGAATTTGGAATTGGAGGATACTAGAAAGCATACGATTAATAAGGTAAGCAGCGATAAGAATAGCATCACCCCAAAAAGACTTAGGGACATTCATAGTAAACAAGAGAGAGCAAGCAACTTCAAGAAGATGGCCATTCTTGCATTTGCCAACTCCATTCTGTTGAGGAGTACCAACACAACTAGTCTGATAAAGGATGCCATGCTCCTCTAGGTATGCTCAAAAAACTCCATCAACATACTTAGTCCCATTATCACTTTGAAGAATTTTGATTTGAGCATTAAAAAGATTAGTCACCATTTTATGAAAAGTGTGGAAACAAGAAAACATTTCACTCTTAGTTTGAAGCAAGTAAATCCAAGTCACACGAGAATAACAATCAATAAATGTAGTAAACCATCGATACCCAGAAGTAGAAAAAAAGGTCATTGAGCAATTTATAGTAGTAAGACTACTAACAGAAAGCAGGTTAGTGTAAAATTAGGAATATGATGCACAGATGAAAAAGAAAGTAAAGATCAACAATGAACTGAACCCTTGCCAGAGACAAAGGATAAAGTGTTATCAGTCACTCGAACCTTGTCTCGGCCAGAACAATGAGAATAAGAATAGAAAAGACTAGAGGCACCTATCATGTGGTCGGTGGCACCTGAATTGTTAATCCAAGAAGGCAATGATAAGGTAAAAGAGTGCTAGGCTCAGAAGGACTCGCAACAATCTCAGACACATGTGCTTGGAGACGAGTTGTACTACGATAACCTTGACCCCAGGTAGGGTGACCATTCAGTTTCCAACAATGTTCTCGATCATGTTTGTCTTTCCCATAATAATTACACTTCAATCAGTCTCGATCAATCGGACTAGGCAAAGGAGCTCGAGTACGAGGAGCAATAACCAAAGAAGAACGATCCTGAATAGAGGAATGAACCATAGCACTATGTCGACTTTCCTCTTGCTGGACAAGGGCATAAGCCTCGCGGAGGGTGGGAAAAGGGGAACAACTCAACATCTAGACACGAATCTGATCATACTTCAAGTTCAAGCTAGCAAGAAAGTCATACATATGCTCCTTCTCCACGATTTGTTGAAACAAAGTGGCTTCCCGAGAACAAATAGCCTGGAAGCTTAGGTAATAGTCTAGTTCTTGCTATGAACTACTCAACTTAGCATAGTATACTGTGAGTGATCTATCCCTCTGATCTAAGCTCCGAAGCTTCTTCCTCAACTCATATGCCTGTGCATCATTACCATGTTGGGATTACATCTGGGCTGCAGTTGTCCAATCCTATGAGCAGTATCTAAGAGAAGAAAAGACCGACTGATGGTGGGCTGCATAGAGTTAATGAGCCAGGTCATAACCAAAGCGTTCTTAGAAACCCATTGAGTACGCGAAGCGGCATCATTAGCAGGCTGGGGAAGGTCACCAATAATGTAGCCAGTCAAACGGCGAGCAGCAATAGCAAGGCTACAAGAACGGAGACATCAATGCTGGAAACACACTTAGAAACGATTTTTCAAATCTGCATCAAAAAAGAAAACAAAAGAAAAATATATGTATGAAAGTCAGTAATGCCCTTCACTGCAGATTGAGTCCACAGTATCTCCGAAAGCATTCTTTTAGATCCTCCTTTTTGAAATTAAACATATGTGTTTAGTTGTCAAAATTTCCGTTAGGCTCAATTAGTTTCAGTACGAAATTACAATACCATATTTTGTTCCAACAAGGTCGGGAAGGTGCATAATAACTTTAAACATACAAAATAAGATGTGGCACCACATAAGCAACAAAATTTATTTCTGAAGTAGCATTGACAGGACAAAAATAAAATAAAACTACAATTATGAATACCAATATATGAAGGGTCTTGTTAACAAGTGTCCCGGGGACACGAAAAGTAGACCCAAATTTTTTTTTTTAAAACACAAGACACTTTTTATTAAATTCAATGCAGTTTTTATAGAAATTAATGCACTTTTTTTAACTGTTTGACCTATTTTCAAGACACTCCTTTATTTCAATCCCAATATCCAGCACTTTTGGCATTTGTCATGTACAAATATCTCGAGGACACAACAATTGCACGAATTATAACTAAGATCATTCCAATAAAATAAATTAAATATATCTTTTAAGAACAGAACCAAAAAGATGACATGAGGAACTTAGCATTAATGGGAAAAACTACAAATGCAAGACTGATGTTAGAGGAGGATAAGTTACCAAAATATTTGATATACATGTTGCATACTTCTTTTCTACTTCTAAATCTGAAAATTCAGTCAAATAAAGAAACTAAACCCCAAGCAAAGAATCATGCCAATTTCAAATCATACCTGAGGGAGAAATGTAAGGAAATTAGTTAAAAGTTTTCTCTTGTTAAGATTCCGAAAGTCCAGTGTAGCTTCAGCAACAACAGGGTCTAAAAGTTCACTGCAATGAAACATTGGAAGAGTGATTTTCAAATACGATTTATCATATGATATGCCATCATAAATAAAGAATAATTGTTAGATGACATCATAATTTCTTTTTTTCCCCATAAATAACTTATTGTGAAAGAAGGACTACAAACATCTTTACCAGCTCAAACATGAATGAATGAATAGGGTCTTTTAATTCGATGGACTCCTCTCCTCTTCAGGTGGGAAATTCTCCACAACTGGTTTAAGACATTGGCCAATCACTTTAAAAACATTACCATTCTTGGGATTTTCAATCTGGGCCCCATGAGAAAAAACAATTTTAACTATCAAACGGCCCAGTCCATCTAGATCTCAATTTACCAGGAAACAAATGTAGTCTAGTTTTATACAAAAGAACCTTTTGTGAAGTATTAACAATTCCTTTGAGTACAAATAATATTAACATTAAAAACATATCATATACAATGACACGGGGAGGACTAGTCAATCAACTAGATGCCCTTTTTTCTTCCAAAACAGCACACCTTTTCTGCTCCCTTATCGACAAAAATATGCAATCCTGCCTTTAGGCAATAGAAATATTATCCTTTATTCGATGAAAAGCTACAAATACAAAACCCTTGTGAGTAAAAAGGTATACATCTTATGTACAGGGGTAGAAAATTAAGATAAAAATTACCATTTGTTTTGCTGAATTCGAGCAGCCCGAGCACCCTTGACAACATTGCGGTCAAATCTAGCGTTTTTGCTATTATCTAAGTCACCAAATAAAGAACAGAAGACGGGTAGTAATTAAAAGGAGAAACAAATAAGTATTTGAAGACCAAAATCAAAATATTAAAGGACTGGAGGTACAATGAAATCTCGTCTAACCTTTGAGAGAGGTTTTGTGGATGTTATGAGATGATTTAGAAGCATACCGAGTCTTATGGGCCTTGTTGAGCAATTGATATTGTTGAAGGCTCAAATGTAGTTTTTCTACAAATTTAAATTAAATTCATTAAATCACAATTAAATACAAATTGAGAGAATGAATATAATATCCAAAATTCATAGAACAACTATGTAATTTTAAGCATTCATCACACCTCCCAACCAACTTTATTGCTAGAACCTAGCAATTAGGGTGACTAAAATAAAATCAAAAAGTAAAATAAAAGCAACTCTAAATCACTTCTGCAAGAAATCACGATTGAATTTAGCACATGCAACAAGCCCTTAATCCAATAGGTTACCCCTCGTGGACGAGTAAAAGTCTCGTGAGGGTTTCCAAAGATGTTACCCACAAACATCCAAAAATTTCTTTACTAAAGGGATTTCTTTCATTCTCATGCCAAAGTTAAAGAACCAGCCATGAATTTCACAACCTTAACAAGATAATCAATCAAAGTTCAAGACGCTAGCAGCAAATACAGATATCTCATGACATTCAAAATTTGGATTGTGTGAAAAACGTTTAGCAAACACAGACACAACCATAGCCTTAAAGTGAAATATAACCCAAATCTCTTTTTGAAACATGCTTCAACTCAAATCTCACAAGTTATTGCACTCAACAAATAAATCACTCAGAATATGGTGCAAAAATTGCTCTCAATATATGCGAGTATGTTTGATTGCCAATAAGACGGAAAAAAAACAAAGGAAGTTGGGACCATACAGCAATTAAGTAGTTGAAGATATATCTTATATGTTGGTGGTGGTTGTATTTTGTCTTTATTCATGAGAACTGTTAGAATTTCCCATCTTTACCTTCACCTACTCCACTACACACTCCACTTCACCTACCTCCACTTCACCACACACTCCACTTCACCTAACCCACTATCACCTCCACTACACCTACTACCACATTTTCTTCTATATATAGATTGTATAGGAATTGTAATTTATCAATCTTGTAACAACATATCAATCAATAATATATATACATAATTTATTTTCTCTCTTTCTCTATACATTAATTTTTACAAAAATTATTTGAAATAATTCATGGCGGGCGGCAACCTCGCCTTGGCCGCCCGCCGGACCTCAACCTAGTCCGCTAGAATTTTCTACACATACCTTCACTCTTCTTCACCACCCCGCCGGACAAACCCAAATTTCCTTAATTTCTTCTTTCATGGAAGATTCTTCAACAACTCACCATGATGGATTCATTCACCAAATTTTAACAGCAACATCCTGTGCTCCTTCAATAATCTGCAGCAATGGCGTAGAAGTAGTAAAGGTGTTGTTCTCTGATGGAAGACTTGAAATCTACACAAGACCTGTCAAAGCAGCCGAGCTCATGGTAGAGAATCCGGGCCACTTCATCTGCGACTCAACCCATCTCAAGGTCGGCCACTGCATTCCTGGACTCTCCGCCGACGAGGAGCTTGAGCGCCGCTGCCGCCAACACTACTTTCTTCTTCCCATGGAAATGCTCTACTCAGTCCTCACAAATGAAGAATTCACTTCTCTCAGAAACAGCTTTGACAAAACAAAAAACACACTGATATGCACACTGCCACACCACCCACACAGCACATGCATACACATACACACACATGCCCTTTATGATGAAAACATTCGTCACGTGGGTAGCCTTTCTTGGGGCAAGACACCCACTCAATATCTCTCTCTCTCATTTTTTTTTTTTGCAAACACTTTATTCCTCTCTCACACCATTCACATTGCCACATACACAGCACATGCACGACACCATTCACACCCATTCTTGTTATTTTAATACACACATCCATTACCTCACCTTTATTTTCATTATTATAAAACACTATCCCCAATTTTATATAAACTTTTCTATTCTAAACTTTTCTCCACCACCCAACACCATCATCACATTTTCCACCACCCACCTTTTTCTCTTTTATTTCATAAATAAATAAATAAATAAATAAATAAAAAAACAAAAAAACAAAAAAACCAAACCAATTTCCATATTTGCACAACACACCATAAATGATTGGCACAAAACTCACAGGGTTAAAAGTCTCTACTATCATTCTTCAAGATTTTCAAGTCATATCCACTTATCAATCATATTCATGTGGCAGAAGTGTAGTGCAATGATTTCCAAATATGAACACACGTAATACTTTAACAAAGTAGCTAACATATCAAACTTCAACACAATTTCTTGAGTTAAAGCAATAAAATACTACAAGTATGCCGAATTACTCAATGCACAGAACAAAAGATTACCGTGCGCACTTTTTTTTTTTTTTTTAAACAAAACAACTAACTCATTGTAGCAAGCAACATATAAATTCTTCTCAAGATAAGTATTTTCTCCCCCCAACCTGAACGATGCATTGTCCTCGAGGGAGTAAAAGTATGATAACAAATTGATTTATTCTAAGCATTCAACCAAAAATGAAAAAATAATGAGACTAAACAATAAATTAATGCGTTTCCAAAGAAAAATTAAGAGTAGATGTATAATAACTCTCCAATAAATGATTGGCACAAAACTCACAGGGTTAAAAGTCTCTACTATCATTCTTCAAGATTTTCAAGTCATATCCACTTATCAACTAAAAATCATATTCATGTGGTAGAAGTGTAGTGCAATGATTTCCAAATATGAACACATGGAATGCTGTAACAAAGTAGCTAGCATATCAAACTTCAACACAATTCTCGAGTTAAAGCAATAAATACCACACGTATGCCCAATCACCCAATGTATTTACCATGAGCACTAACTTTTTTTTTTTAAAAAACAAAACAACTAACTCATAGCAACAAGCAAATATATAAATTCTTCTCAAAATAAGTATTTTCTGCCCCCAACCTAAACGATGCATTGTCCTGAATGTAAAAAATAAAATCAAAAAGTATAAGAGATTACCTTAACTGATTAACCATGTCTATATGTGTCATTGCCCGCAAGGGGTTAGCGCCAAAAACACAAAGGAAAAAAAAAAATACAAACGAAAAACTAACTGCTCCTAAAAGTAAAATTATTTTGAATAATATGCACAAACCGGTTCCTCAAAATAATTCTGATCAATTATTCTGAACAACTTTTTGAATGAAGTAAAGGAAGTTGGAATTGTCAATCTCTAATTATCTAAAAACTACGAAAAGTGAATTTTTGGTTTCTATAACCCGTCACAACAAATGAAACACAAAATTCCAACAAAATTTCCACAAAAGAAAAGATAAAATTGCATATGATAATATATGTATTAGCAGTTCGCTCTTTGCATGTTTTTTCCACATGAAACTATAAACAAAGTTTTTTTTTTTTTTCCATTTCTTATTTCCTTCTCATACAAGATCCGCAAGATGCTTATCAAATATAGCTCCAATTATTGGAAAGGAATTTCCAAACCTCACACATATGTGGGAACACTGTAGCAATCAAAGTCAAATACTACATAGTATCAATATAAATAAATTATATATAACCACGTATATCAATATAAGCAATTGTCCTATTTTTGTTTCATCGTAGAGTAACAGAAAAATGCGTCATTTCAATACATTATGTAAACAAAAACATAGACGAACTACTCAATTCTCAATTCAACAGGACACCCAATTTTCAAACAACACAATTCAAATAATTTTGGTTGAAACTTATATTAAATTGTATGAATCGAATCGTGCATCATACAATTCTAACACCATACTAATTGGAACATGTAGAAGCCGTGTCAACAGAATAATTTTGATCTTTTACTCATGAAATACGATATCCATTTCCAAGAAATTGTAGCAATGTACGTGAATTTATTCTTGAGTGACAACTGAGATTAGAAATTACCTGGTTGTCAACTCTGTCAGCTGGTGCAGGAGGCAAGACGAGATCTGCTTCCAGATCGAGTTGAAGATATGCGGGCACGCCCATCACCTTCTATCTCCATGCCCATGTCAACTTCCAAAGAATGACGCTTTGCATCACAACATCAAAAAGGATAAATGAAAAAAATAAAAACCAAAAAAAACCTACGCCCAATTTAGTCTCCATTTCCAAGCAATGGCAACAATGTAAGTGAAGGAATTCTTGAGTGATAACTAAGATTACCTGGTTGTTGACACACTGTTCAGTTGAGGAATTCTTTAGTCTTCATCACTTGTGTTACTACTCGCTGCTTAGTTGCTAGTGAATAAAAAAAGGTCTACATTTATCTCCCAAAAAACACGTGAATTTATTATATATAGCCCAACAGACATCAATTATGTAGCAACTACCACCAATAAACTACCAACTTAACCCTATTCTTGTTTTTTCTTTTGTTTTTCTTTTTTTTTTTGGTTAAATATGAAAGCCAATTTGTAGACATAAGCAGTAACTCAAAAATAAAATACTACTCATGCCAATTAGTTTCTCAATTTTCTCTTGAGGCTCTAAGGATTTGCAAAGCACACAAATTTCTATCCTAAAATGCCAATTGTTGAGGTTTAATAATTGTTCTACAGGCTAGGCGTAAGCTCTCTTTTAGAGGGGGTATTGCCTTTGGCATGTCATGAACTTCATTGTAAATCCTCTTTTATGGCAATAAAACACTTACCCCTTAAAAAGCATAGCATGACGAACAATGCCTATGCGCCACAGAAGCTGAGAAAAGGAAAACTAACAAATATCAACTATATTCAATATTGGAAATGGAAAGAAAATAATTCTTCCAGGATATGGTTGAATTCTTTTGGATATCACAACTGTAAACATTTTGATTTAGTCAATACTATAGAATAGGAAAGTTTATTAGGATCAAAATTAGTAGCTAAATAATAGCTAATCAGTCCTCAAAATCAGTAGCTAATTAATAGCTAATCAATTCCTAATTTTATGCCTTGTATCTCCTATAAATAGAGGTGCTATGTACATTGTTTAAATATGAGAATAAGAAATATTGTTCTTTCTAGCTTTCATGGTATCAAAGCTGAGGACTTATTCTTTGACCCTTCTGAGGTAATCCTAGAACCAGCAAGTTGTCCTTCACCATATCAGAAACCACATCTGAATCCACTGTTACTGTTTCACCGAAAAACATTGACAAACATGTCTCCAACATTGATTCTCACTCGGTGCAAATCACCAGCATTAAACTCAACGGTGATAATTTCTTGCGTTGGTTTCAGTCTATCCAGATGTACATTCGGGGGCATCTGATCACATGACTTCTTTCTCTTCTTTATTCAATACTTATTTATTTTATTCTGAAAGTGAAAGAGTTAGGATTGCTGATGGCAATTTCTCACCCATTGTAGGAAAAGTTCAAATAAAATTTTTACAAAATATTACTCTTCACTCTGTCCTTCATGTTCCTAAACTGACCCGCAAGTTGTTGTCTGCCAGTAAATTATCCAAAAACTCTCACTTTCGTGTTGTTTTCTTTGACTCTCATTGTGAATTTCAGGACCGAAACTCGGGGAGGATGATTGGCAGTGCTAGAATGGTCAATGC